GTCCTTATCCTCACTCTCCAAATATGTATTCGGTAGGTCTCACCATAGCCTCTACATTTCTGTATCAGCCAGGATAGACTAGGGTGTTGACATGATTTGCCTCTGTGTCCCCACCCAAATCTCATGTTGAATTGTAATCCTCTGTGTTGGAGGAGGGGCCAGCTGGGAGGTGATTGGATCATGGGGGTGGATTTCTCCATGCTCTTCTCATGGTGGTGGGTTCTCATGAGCTCTGGTTGTTTAAAAGTGTGCAGCACCTCCCCAACTCTCTCTTCCTCCTTCTCTAGCCATATAAAATGTGCCTGCTTCCCCTTGGCCTTCTGCTATGATTGTAAGTTTCCTAAGGTCTCCCTAGCCATGCTTCCTGTACAGCCTGCAGAACTGTGAGTCAATTAAACCTCTTTTCTTTATGAAATTACCCAGTCTCAGGTAGTTCTTTATAGCAGTGGGAGAACAGACTAATACAGATGTGCTGTGGAACATGCAGTCTCCAAATCTCAATGGCATAAAACAAAATGAGTTTATTTTTTACTTATGCTACATGTCCATTGAGGGTTAACAGAGGGCTTCTGCTAACTGTAGTCTTTTAGGGACCCAAGCTGACAAGGCGACCACCATCTTGAATGTTGCCAGTCAGTATTCCAGAGGGAAAGAGTTCAGAAGGGTCTGGCACAAACACTTCAACTTACAGCTTATTGGTCAGATCTAGTCATTCGGCTCCACGTAACCATAAATTGGTCAGGAAGTGTAATCCTATGCTATGTCTAGAAGGTGGAGGGATGGACGTGTTTGATGATCAGCACCAATAACTACCACCGTTTTTTACCCTCTTTTCTGTATTTTCCATCCTTTTATTTGAGTTTATTCTGGATATTTTCTTGTGACATGTTTTTCAGTTTACTAATTCTCTCTTCAGCTGTATCCAGCTAGTTATTAAATCCATGCACTTTGTTCTTAATTTTGGTTTTCATGTCAAAATTTTTATTTGGTTCCAGTTCACTGCTGAAATTCTCAATCTAGTCTCTCTTTTGAGCAGAGTAAATATAGTTATTTGAAAACCTGTAGATAACTTTAATATCCTGATCCCTCATGGAGCTATTTCTATAATCTATAGTTTCTGCAGGTTTTTGTTGATATTGTCTTGTATTTTCCTGTTCCTTTTTATTTTATTTTTTTGAGTAGAGTCTCCCTCTGTCACCCAGGCTGGAGTGCAGTGGCATGATGTCAGCTCACTGCAACTTCTGCCTCCCAGGTTCAAGCGATCCTTGTGCCTCAGCCTCTGGACTAGCTGGTACTACCAGCGTGCTGCACCACTGTAGGGCTGAGGGCCCCACAGGGTCGTAGGGTGAGCCTGATGCTGTGCGGAGGCGCAGGATCCGAGAAATAAAGAGACAGGACACAGAAGTACAAAGAAAACGCAGCTGGGCTCGGGGGGCCACATCACCCATGAGCGGAGTCAGGCGAGGCCCCGAATGTCCGGAAGCCTGAGTATTTATTGTGTATAGGTTAGGGGGCAGGGCAGTGAGTGAAGTCATCTTTAAGGAAAGTGATAGGGTCATGAGCAATAAAACATGGGGTCCACCCCCATTAGGTCGCCGAGGCTTGAAGATGGGCCATGCGCAGTGAAGAGGGTGCCATGTGCGATACTTCTATCTATGGGAAAACTACTTCTAAGAAGATTTATGGGAGGATGCTTAAGTCACACGGCAGTGACAGAGCTGTCAGGGTTACCGCCACCTTCTGGCAGCTTCCAGTGGGTTCTATGGGAAGATGCTTTTCAAGCAGCACAGCAGCAAGAGCTGATAAAGTTCACAGTCCCCAAGGTGGATTGCCGGTCTGAGGGCAGCCTTCCACGAGAACTGGAGCAGGGTCCTGCAACTCCTTCATCAGGAGGAGTGGCTCTCGCCCCAAGCCTGCCACACAGCGGGTATCTTTACGACACTGAACGCTGCCGCCTGGGCCGTGGAGTCTTGTCCTGGTATAACTGTTTTCCCTTAAACCATGCTCTACACTGTGTCTGCTCTAGGCATTCCTCTGATTATAAGCTGCTTATTTCTCAATTCATGCTCTGTACTGTGTCCACTCTAGGCATTCCTCCGATTATGAACTAAGATATAATTATAGGTATATATGTAGTGAAATATTCTTCAGGCACTCATACTATCAACTATTAATGATTACATAGAGAGAATTATATAATGGGATTCTTCAAGCCCTAATTCTATAAACTAATATATGATTATGTAAAGAATTATACAAAAGGAAATAGCTGAGTAGTGACACTATGAAGTGAGATATTCCTCAAGCCCTAACTGTGCCAGGGCTCTGCTCAGCTCTCCTTCCTCAGTGCCTATGTGGGGGGTTACCCACACACCACATCAGCTCATTTTTGTATTTTTAGTAGAGACAGGGTTTCGCCATGTTGGCCAGGCTGGTCTTGAACTCCTAGGCTCAAGCAGTCTGCATGCCTCAGCCTCCCAAAGTGCTGGGATTACAGGCATGAGCCACCTTGCCTGGCCATGTCATGTGTTTTATTGGTAGGAATAATTTGAAGCCTAGGAAGGTATTTTTCACTCTTTTTTCACTGAGGATTTAGCTTTTGCCATGTATTGGGGGTACTAACAGTCTGGAGTCATTTTGCCAATTTCAGGGATTGAGGTGATTTTAAGCTAAGCTGAAGTCACCCTTTGTCCTTAGGACCCCAGAGTGAGGATTACATTTACATAAATGCCTTCACTCACCCACCCACGTTCATATTTGTAAATTTATATTTACAAATGTAGACAGTCATTGACGAATGTGCAGAGAAATGTGCACAAATGAATATGTCTGTGTGGTTGTCTCTCCTGTGTACCCATTTATCTGCCAAAACAATTAGGTGTACGCTAACCTAGGAACTACTCAGCCACTGGGCCAGCGGACAGAAGGCCTGTGCTGGGTGCTGTTCTAGGTGCTTGGGGCACATCCTTGACCAAACAAAGTCCCTTCTGTCACAATTGAGTGCAGTGGAGATACCAGGCTACCAGGGCGGGCAGGGCTGGGCTGGAATCTTAAGAAAGGTGGCCAAAGCGGGCTTTGCTGAGGTGACATCCAAGGGAAAACTCGGCGGTGAGGGAATGAGAGCTGTGAACGTCTGAGGGGCTTCCAGACAGGAGGACTGGCCAGTGTAAGACCCCAAGGGGACAGGAAGGAGCCCTGTGGCTGCGGGGGAATGAGGCTCAGAAGCTGGAGGGTTTGGGGGCTGATGGAGGAAAGGACAGGGCCAGGAGGGGGCAGTAGCAGGCAGTGAGCCTCACTCCGGCGGCTCTGGGACAGGTTTTCACGGAGGCTTGGCACCAGGCGGAGCCGCTCAGCAGAGGGCAGCCCCGCCTGAAGGATTCTGTAGCCCCAGGGTTTGTCTCATCCGCATGATGTTGGGTTCAGTTTTGCAGCATACACAAAGCAAGCAGTGTCTAAATGTCTAGAAACATGCGTATTTGCGCTCTATTTAAAGCAAAGGTCTGCGTAACATTTTGATTTTGGCCCTGGTGGGCTTTGAGATTCTGCTCCTAGCTGCTGTGAAGCAGACAGCACAGGGCTGGTCCTCAGGCTGTCATTGGCCCGCGGACCCATCGGGTGGCCGCGGAGGTGAGTTTACCCTCGGAGCTGCAGGCCCCTGCACCGCCCCCGCGTCTGTAGGTGAGCGCCTGAGTTGGCACCTGCTCAGCCAGGATGGCCGTCACCTGAGGCCACGCTGCCCGCTGTGCCATTGCTCCTCTCCCTCTGGTCTCCTCTGGCCCCGTCCCTCCCCACATCTGCGAGTTCGTCCCCATTCTGCTGTTCCTTCTCCCTGTCTGCATGGATCTGTGGCCAGTCTCCCTGGAAGAGCTGCGGAGATCTCATCTTCCCCCGCTTCCCCCCGCGCCTGGCGCCCTCCTTCCATATCACAAACGCCTCGCTCTGTGGGAACGCCACTGCTGACCCCGACCCAGTGCTGCCTTCTGCCTGCTCCGTGGCCCGTGTCTGTCACCTCTGTCTGGCCCCGCTGCCAAGCCTGCCCACACCTTCCTGGTCTGTTCTTGGCTGTGGCGCCCACCTTCAGCCACCTGCTCTCCTCCTCCCAGGCCTCTGCTCTCCAGCCGACAGCTCCTTGGGCCCCAACTGTTTCCCAGGCCTAATTCTGAGTACAAGAGTCTCCCTGCACCACCTGGCCCTCCTCAGCCACTGCCTGGCCGCCTTCCGCCACCATCCAGTTATTAGGGAGCCACACTAGACAGCAGGCCCTGGTCAGCCCTGCCTTCCCAGAGCAGGCGTGGGGCAAACAGCGTTCACACACACAGCCACCCATGAACAAACAGCTTCCTGGTCAAGGGTGAGGCCGGGACTGGGCCGCCACCAGGCGCATGTGGGTCTGCCCTGAGCTCCTGCTCTCTCTTCACTGCAACTCCTCTGAGCCCCACCCCAGCTCCACAGACAGGAAGTCAGGGCCTCGCCCTGGGCGGCTGGCCTTGGAGCCCAGCTCTCTGCACCCACTCCTTGCTCCTGGAGTGCTGGGGGCTCCAGAGGGTGAGAGGCAGCGGCAGCCCCAGGGGCTGCGTTGTGCAGGCAGAGATCTGCAGGGACCACAGAGGGAGCCGCACGGTGCACGTGCTGCGGGCCGGCCGCCTGCTCAGGAAGCAGCAGTAGCAGCCCAGGCCGCAGGCGTGCACCTGGGTCCAGCAGAGGCAGGAAGCCTGGGGCGGGTCCTTGGGGGCCGTGAGGGGGAAGGAAGCCCTTGGAGGCCCAGCCACAGGAGCAGGTTCCTGCTTGGACTTGGTCAGGGAGCCCAGGAGAAATCCTGGTGGCCTGGGCTTTGGGGATGGCTGCACCCAAAGGGCCTGCCACACACCAGCTGTGAGCACTGAGGCCTTTCTGCACAATGGCGCCCTTTCTCCCAAATGGAAGAGCAGCGGCTCCTCTCCGGGCTGAGGAGACTTGGAACACGGGCACCCTGAGTGCCGGACAAATGTCATCTGTCACAGGTGGCCTCGCTAGATGCGGTGGTGAGCGTGCTGCATTCGTGGGACCTGAGCCTCACAGAGGCCATGCTCCAGAACATGGAGGCAGAGCAGCAGCGCCGGGCCCGGGAGGCCCAGCGGCACCAGGAGGCCGAGGCTGAGTGGTGTGGCGGGCAGGAGGGGTGTGGGAGGTGCTGGCGGGGAGCGGGGACGGCGGACGCTGGCAGGGACCTCTGCCCCAGCTCCTTCCCGTTCCCTAGCCTGACCCTCAAGGTCCAGCAGCTGGCCAGGGAGCAGCAACAGTGTTCCAAGGAGGTGAGTGTGACCTCAGGGAGGAGCCGGGGGGACAGGCACCCAGGGGAAGAGCTAGGCGAGGAAGTGACCTGGTCAGAAGGCACTGGCCGGCCTCGCCAGGGCCTGCCCATACGCCCGCCCAGCTGCAGCAGGCCTACTGCGAGCTGAGCCGGAGGATCTCAGAGCACGACCAGTGTGAGCGGAGGCACGCGGACAAGACGAAGCTGACGCTGCAGGTGGGACGTGCTGTGCCTCAACAGCCCTCCTTGTTCCACAGCAGCCCAGGGCTCCTCCCTCCCAGGCCCAGGATTTTTCGCGCTCAAACATGAGTCACCAGCCAATGGTGGCCTCCTTGGGTGGGGTGGGGAGGAGGCCCGGGCAGGAGCCTTCCCCAGCCAGAGCATGGGATGGGACAAGCGAGGGTCAGCGTGGCCCCTCCTCCAGGCCATTAAGGACGCAGAGGACCAGGTGGACAGGCTGCAGCAGGAGGCCCAGAAGGCTGAGGAGGCGCTGGCTCTGGCCAGACTGGCACTGCGGGAACAGATGCAGGAGGGTGGGCCTGGCATGGGGCGCCGGCTGGGGGCTGGGAGGCACAGCCCAGGGTGGGGGGCGGCGTTGGCTTGCCTGTCAGCTGCACTCTGCCACCCCGACAGGTGAAGAAGAGGTGCAGGGGCTTAAGTGCCAGGTCACGGAGCTGCATGACGTGCTGATGAAGGACGTGGGCGACCGCATCCGAGCGGACGGCCGGTCAGTGCTCCCGGCCGGACGTGGTTCCAGGCCGCTGGGGTTTGGACAGACGGCACCGACCTCACGCTGTCCCCAGGTGGCCTCTCGTCATCGACCCTTCGGGCCAGGCGGCTACCTTCCTGCGCTACCAGGACACCAACTATGTGGACACGGTAAACCCGGAGCACCTGAGGCCGGAGAGGATGCGACTGGCTCTTCTGGGGGCTCTGCGGTGAGGCAGGCGGGGCGTCAGGTACAGCCACCCCACCCCCGGCCCCACCCCGCCTCATCAGCCTCCTGGGGCAGGTACGGGAAGCCGCTGGTGTTCGACCTGCGCGAGGTGGACCTGTTCCCAGCCGTGCAGCGGCAGCTGGAGGCGGTGCAGCCCGGCCTGGCCCAGGCGCTGCTGAGCCGTGGCCTGCTGGAGCAGGAGCGGTACCTGTCGCTGCTGCGGCCCACGGACGAGCCCGAGTACAGCCCCACGCAGTTCCAGGAGGCGCGCCTGGAGCACTTCCGCGTCTTTTTCGTCACCAAGGCCCAGTGGCCGCCGGCTGAGCAGCTGCAGGTGCTGCTCCCGGTGCGAGTGCAGCTCCCGGGCACAGGCCTCTAGCGCCGGCTCCAACCCCAATAAAGCGTGTGCCCCGGGGCGCGGTGCCGCCTGTGCTGTGTGTGTGAGGGGCAGGGTGGCCCGTGACTCCGACCGCGGACACAGATGTGCAGACCCCTGGGGGACCCTGCTGGGGACGGGGAGGCGCAGCGGGAGACGTGTGCGGGCGGGTGGGGCTGCAGCGCTTGGGGCTCAGCCTGGCCTCGGAGGGCAGGCGGCATCTGTGCCCGTGGGTGGGGGATGGACAGACAAATGGGAGGTAAAATGTAGTCAACTTTATTCTCCTTAAACCACAAAATAGAGTCTTTGGTTGTACAAACGTCACTAGTTACAGTCTCGCCGAGGTCTCGGCTGGGGTGGGGCAGTTAGTCAGAGGCCGGAACTCCTGCGGGGTCTCTTTAAAATGCTAAAACCCAGGTTAAAAGACTCAGGGCAAGGGTGGTGCTGGAGCTGGCAGGGCCCCAACCCCAAGTCTGGGGGAGGCACCCGCTCCTCTAGGAGGGCACAGGGCCCAGGCCACGGCGCCCAGGCCTCACGGGGCGGCGGCTGCTGCACAGTGCCACATCTTCGGGGCCCATGGCGCCGGGTGAGGGCCGGCCCAGAAGCACCAGGGCCACTTCTCCATCTTCCTCCTGTGGGCCTGGGGGGGCAGGGACGGGGGGGGCAGTGAGCCGAGGGCAGCCGGGCTCCGGGGAGCTCACCTCGCACCCAGCCCCAACTCACCAGGGCTGGGAGACGGTTCCAGGGATCTCAACTCCTCAGCAAAGTCCGGCGACTGTGATGGAGAGAGTGCTGGTGAGGCCGGTGCCCGTCCTGCCCCAGGCCACCCGCGTGGACAGGTGGGCTCCCAGCCCTGAGGCCCACAGAGCCCAGCTGAAGGAGGGAGGGGATGGAGAGGCGGGGCGAGGGCAGAGCGCGAGGAGGCCCTGCAGGCGCGGACAGAGGCGGCAGCAGGCGCGGGCGGGGTGGCGGGCATGCAGAGGCCTGGCGGCCGGGTACCTGGATGTCATAGACCGGCCTGGAAGAAGGCAGGGCCGCAAAGGCCCTGTAGTCAAACTTCTTTCCAGACAAGGGCTTGAAAGGACAGCGTGAGGGGGAGGCAGAGAGTGAGAGGACAGGGGTGAGGGCCACAGGGGCGGGGGCAGGCCAGACCCCCCACGTCTCGGGGGTGAAGGGCGGGCACAGCCACCGGCTCCTCACCAGGCGTCCCGGGGAGGTGCTGGTCTGGGGGCCGAGGTCTGGGGGGACAAGAAGCAGGTGTTGGAAGCGGCCCATGCGGCAGGCTGACCCCCCAACCTCCCAGACGCACGGACCTTCCACAGGGGTGGGCGACGGGGTGGGCGCGGGGGAAGGGGCCTCGGCCAGACGCTCCAGGGGCCCCCGAGTGCCCCGGCCCTCCTGGGACCTGCTGAGGACCATCTGTGCGCGGAGAGCGTCCTGCTCCAGCGACTTCATCCTGCGGAGACCAGCAAGCCTGGTGAGCCGGGCAGGAGCCGGGGCAGGCGTTGGGGCGGCGTGGGGACCCCCACTCAGGGGCCTACCTGGCCGCCCTCCACAGCGCTCGCTTCTCGGCCTCCAGGGCCCGGCGCTCCGCAGGGGACAGGGCGCGCTCCGGTGCCGGCAGCTCCGGACTCTGCACTCGAAGCCGTTCCTGGTGGCGCCGCTCAGCTTTGGCGGTCCGCACCGGGGCGCCACCTCCCGGGGGTGGGGGGGACACGGGGCTCTGCCTAGGGAAGGGACAGCATGTGCTGTGGGGAGGGTGCGTGGGGCGGGGGCGGGGTGTCTGGTGCGTGGGTGCTCACCCTGCAGTGGGGCTCGGGCCGGCCCACGGTGGCTCCTCGTCCTCTGGCTCCTCCTCGCCCAGGGCCTCTCCATCCAGGGCGAGCCTCGCTCCGGCCCCGGCCTCCGCCACCTCCCGCATCTGTGCTCGCTTCTGCTGCAGTTTCCGGGCTGCCAGACAGCCGGGCGGGTCAAGCTGGGCCGGCCGCCCCCCAGCCCCCACCGCACTCTGCGCCCCTCACCTTCCTCCTCCTGCATCTTGCGCAAGTCATCAGCGCCCACCAGGGACACGCGCTTAGGGGGCCCCTCGGCCTGGGGCGCGCGCACCTCCAGCTCGAAGTACTTCTGCCGCTCCCGGAAGGACAGCTGCTCCGGGGAGGCCGCGGGCGTCGGGGGCTGGGGGGAGCGGGCCCTGAGGTTTGGCTGGCATTCCTCTGGGGCACCCACCACACCCACACGCAGTAGGGAGGGGTGCTGCCCCACACACCTGGGCAGGGGCGTCCTCAGGAGGGTGTGCAGTGGGCACAGCTGCGAAGGCTCTGTAGGCCTGCTTCACGTTGGCAGGCAGCTCATCCGGGGAGGGCGGGGAGGGTGGCTGGGGGGGTGGGGCTCTCGTGAGCTGCGCCGGGCAGCTGTCGGAGCTGCAGCTGCGCCCAGCCCAACACCCGCTGTCCCCACTGCCTGCCTTTGATCCCATCCACCATCCTGCCAGGGCAGGAGGCTCTGCACCCCACCCATGGGAGAGAGCACTCACGGAGCAGGGACCACCTCTGCCCCTGGGGGCTGGGGAGCCCCAGGCCTGAGCCAATGGCTGGATCACCCCTGGTTTTGTCTGGAAAAGGCAGGTGGGGACAGAGGAGAGCAGGATCAAGGATTTAAGGCAAAGGATGGGGTGGGGGGAGAGAGGGAGAGAGAGAGACACCTGGGTGGGGCTGACATCTCGCCACTGAGGTGCTGAGCTGTGGCTGGGTCTCACGGGTGCTGCCGTCCCCACCCCCACGTGGTAGTGTGTTGAGGGTAGTGCCGATAGTGGGGGACAGGGACCCCCTGACAAGAAGCAGGCAGGGGCGAGGCCAGCGGGCCCTGGGAGGCCCTGGGCCCAAGACAATGACCGGGGTCTCCGGAGCTTGAGCCCCTCCAGGAACAGCAAGCCCGGGCCCCGAGCCCATCGCCAGGCAGCTCTGGCCAGGAGAGTGTTCCCGGCTGTCCTCGCACAGCAGGCTCCATGGTAGCAGAGGGAAGCCCGGAATCAACAGCACGCCGCTCCCTCTCCCTGGAGGGGGCTCTGCACAGCGGCCATCTGCCCTGCCCTCCACCTGCTGTGGGGCGCGCCTGGTAACTCAGGACACTCACCTGCTGGCCACTAGGGGAGCGGGGGGCTTCGGCCATCTTTCCTCCAGCTGCTCCAGACGGTACCTGGAGGATCAGGCAGTGGGTGGGGTGAGGCCTGGCAGGGCTGTGGCCCCTGAGCAGGAGGGACTGGGGGTCCTGGCGCTTGCCTGGAGGGCACAGAAGCTCTTCAGCTCCCCAAACTGACTATAGCCCAGGGCCACCCAGGTCAGCATGAAGGGGCTGTCCCAGACCCCCACGGTGCAGGGGCCTGGGATGGGCAGCTGGTGCCTCTGTAGCTGTGTGCTGGAGCTTTGCAGGAGAGACGGGAGCAGACAGCATAGTTGCAGAAGGGGGAAGGGCGGGCTCGGGAGGGGCGGGGGACAGAGGGGCCAGCGGGGAGCCCCTACTTGCGGTGTGCAGCCCTCAGGGCTCGAGCGGGGCCCCGACCGCTGCCCCCACAGCTGTGCTCTTGTTCATGAGGATGAAGGGTCTCCTGGGAGCCTCCCTCTCAGCGCTGCCCGTGGCCAGGGGAGGCAGGGTCGGGGTACCCGAGAGCCCCTGCATGCGCTGCCTCAGCCCCTCACCACCACTCTACCACCCCCGCGGGGGCCCGGCAGACCCCCCAGCCACTCACGTTCCTTCCGGGCCTCCCAGCAGAGGCTGGCGGGGCACACCCTCTGGGGGGGTTATTTGCGTCTCTCGGGAGGGACGGGCCTGCACACCCTCCCGCCTGTCCCCAGCGACTGCCCCTCCAGCCGCTCCAGCCCGCGCCCCCCCAGCGACGTGCGCCTGCCCAATCCTCCAGGGGCTCTGCCTCCAGCCCGCACCCTCGGGCCGGGCAGCCCCCCACCCCACCACACCGGCCTGCTCGGTGAGTACAGGAGCCCCGGACTGTGTCGCCCCTCCGAAGCTCAGGGCGGGGGCGGGGCGGCACGGCTGGGGTAGCCTGCAGGTCAGACGCGGCCTCCTCCCACCCCGGCCCCACCCTGCCCAAGGCCTCCATGAAGGTCCTGGCGTTCATCTTGGGGTGGCTGATGAGCAGAACAGGACTGAGGTGGGGGCACTGACCCTCTGCACGCTGCCAGCACTGGGCACAGCGGCCAGGACACGGTAGTCCAGCTTCAGGGGCTCCAGACCCCGACCCTGGGAGCAGAGCGGACACAGCACTAGCAAGGGCAGCTCCGTGGCGGCCCCTAGCCATCGGGGGAAGGGGGACAGCACAGGCACAAGAGGGGGTCCCGGGGTCACTATCCAGCACCCCATGGGTGATATGTACCCCGATCCAGTGCCCTGATGGGAGGGCGGGGTGACCCTACTCACTGCGGCTTCTGTGGCCTCGGACCAGTGCAGGGTCTGTCCAGGCAGCTCCTTCTCCTGTGAGCAAAGCGGACCCATCAGGTGCTGCCGGCCTCGGGCTCCCTGGCCCTGGGCTGCCGGCTGCAGGCGCCTCTGACCTTGCCTGGGCCCTCAGGACTCAGCTCCCGGTCGATGGAAGAGATGCTCTCCAGGCTGTTCCGGTGGCCGATGCCTGCCGCAAAGGGGTTGGCAATGACACCTGGGGACACCTGAAGAGAGGGGTGTGGGCTGAGGGGAGACCGCGGCCCCAGCCCAGAACAGCCAGCAAAGGTGAACCAAGGAGCTGCGCCCCTGGGTGGGGCCGACCGCACCGTGGGGGCGGCCTCAGAGGGCACTGCGCTGGGCCCTCCAGTGCCCGGCCCGGCCCGGCCCCTCACAGCTCACAGGGCTGCTGTGGACATGGTCACGTCTGCACTAAGTGAGACTAAAGTGGCGTGATGCCTGCCACTCTGTCTGGGCAGGGCAAAACAGGCGACTGTGTAAAGTCACCCCCAGGAAGAACTGACAGCCTCCAAAATGGGGCAAGGAGGGGGTGAGCAGTGGGCACTGCACCTGCTGGCACAGAGCGGCCCCTCGGGTGGACAGGCTGGCTCCAGACCCCGGCGTGAGTGCTGAGCAGGGGTTCTGAAACAAAGGACACCACGCAGGAAGGCTAGCCAGCCCTGCGCTTCCCAGACCTAAATC